ACCCCCACCACTGGAGTGTCAGCCCTTTTATATACCCCCATCACTGGAGTGTCAGCCCTTGTATATACCCCCATCACTGGAGTGTCAGCCCTTTTATATACCCAACCACTGGAGTGTCGGCCTTTTTATATACCCCCCATCACTGGAGTGTCAGCCCTTTCATATACCACCACCACTGGAGTGTCAGCCCTTTTATATACCCCCATCACTGGAGTGTCAGCCCTTTTATATACATGTACCCCCACCACTGGAGTGTCAGCCCTTTTATATACCCCCACCACTGAAGTGTCAGCCCTTTTATATATCCCCCACCACTAGAGTATCAGCCCTTTTATATATACCCCCATCACTGGAGTGTCAGCCCTTTTATATACCCCCACCACTGGAGTGTCAGCCCTTTTATATACCCCCACCACTGGAGTGTCAGCCCTTTTATATACCCCCACCACTGGAGTGTCAGCCCTTTTATATACCCCCACCACTGGAGTGTCAGCCCTTTTATATACCCCCACCACTGGAGTGTCAGCCCTTTTATATACCCCCACCACTGGAGTGTCAGCCCTTTTATATACCCCCACCACTGGAGTGTCAGCCCTTTTATATACCCCCACCACTGGAGTGTCAGCCCTTTTATATACCCCCACCACTGGAGTGTCAGCCCTTTTATATACCCCCACCACTGGAGTGTCAGCCCTTTTATATACCCCCACCACTGGAGTGTCAGCCCTTTTATATACCCCCACCACTGGAGTGTCAGCCCTTTTATATACCCCCACCACTGGAGTGTCAGCCCTTTTATATACCCCCACCACTGGAGTGTCAGCCCTTTTATATACCCCCACCACTGGAGTGTCAGCCCTTTTATATACCCCCACCACTGGAGTGTCAGCCCTTTTATATACCCCCACCACTGGAGTGTCAGCCCTTTTATATACCCCCACCACTGGAGTGTCAGCCCTTTTATATACCCCCACCACTGGAGTGTCAGCCCTTTTATATACCCCCACCACTGGAGTGTCAGCCCTTTTATATACCCCCACCACTGGAGTGTCAGCCCTTTTATATACCCCCACCACTGGAGTGTCAGCCCTTTTATATACCCCCACCACTGGAGTGTCAGCCCTTTTATATACCCCCACCACTGGAGTGTCAGCCCTTTTATATACCCCCACCACTGGAGTGTCAGCCCTTTTATATACCCCCACCACTGGAGTGTCAGCCCTTTTATATACCCCCACCACTGGAGTGTCAGCCCTTTTATATACCCCCACCACTGGAGTGTCAGCCCTTTTATATACCCCCACCACTGGAGTGTCAGCCCTTTTATATACCCCCACCACTGGAGTGTCAGCCCTTTTATATACCCCCACCACTGGAGTGTCAGCCCTTTTATATACCCCCACCACTGGAGTGTCAGCCCTTTTATATACCCCCACCACTGGAGTGTCAGCCCTTTTATATACCCCCACCACTGGAGTGTCAGCCCTTTTATATACCCCCACCACTGGAGTGTCAGCCCTTTTATATACCCCCACCACTGGAGTGTCAGCCCTTTTATATACCCCCACCACTGGAGTGTCAGCCCTTTTATATACCCCCACCACTGGAGTGTCAGCCCTTTTATATACCCCCACCACTGGAGTGTCAGCCCTTTTATATACCCCCACCACTGGAGTGTCAGCCCTTTTATATACCCCCACCACTGGAGTGTCAGCCCTTTTATATACCCCCACCACTGGAGTGTCAGCCCTTTTATATACCCCCACCACTGGAGTGTCAGCCCTTTTATATACCCCCACCACTGGAGTGTCAGCCCTTTTATATACCCCCACCACTGGAGTGTCAGCCCTTTTATATACCCCCACCACTGGAGTGTCAGCCCTTTTATATACCCCCACCACTGGAGTGTCAGCCCTTTTATATACCCCCACCACTGGAGTGTCAGCCCTTTTATATACCCCCACCACTGGAGTGTCAGCCCTTTTATATACCCCCACCACTGGAGTGTCAGCCCTTTTATATACCCCCACCACTGGAGTGTCAGCCCTTTTATATACCCCCACCACTGGAGTGTCAGCCCTTTTATATACCCCCACCACTGGAGTGTCAGCCCTTTTATATACCCCCACCACTGGAGTGTCAGCCCTTTTATATACCCCCACCACTGGAGTGTCAGCCCTTTTATATACCCCCACCACTGGAGTGTCAGCCCTTTTATATACCCCCACCACTGGAGTGTCAGCCCTTTTATATACCCCCACCACTGGAGTGTCAGCCCTTTTATATACCCCCACCACTGGAGTGTCAGCCCTTTTATATACCCCCACCACTGGAGTGTCAGCCCTTT